GATACCCAGTAGAATGAGTAGTCTCTTCCCCTAGATTTATAGAAATCCAATGGGAAGACTGACTATAGTGTGAAGTATTTTTCTGTATATTATATTTAAGCATATTTCAGAAACATCCTTTTTCCTATTTAAAGTATTTTTTAAGTGTCTTGCAGTGATTGGTTCAGGAGGACCGTCTATATGACCCAAGGGTATAATCTTTATGGCCGACACTCTGGTGGCTTAGTGAAGAGTGAGTTATGAGCTCAGTCTGAGTTTACCAGCTGCACCATGGGAAGAAGATGGACAATCTACTCCCATGTTGTTTATAGCCTGAACACCTGTGGAAGGACCAGCTATGTAATTGGTTCTGACTTGACACTAATGAGTTAGCATTGCTAGTTAGTCTTTATTGAAATAGATTTTCACATCTTTCTCCTTCAGTGGATGGTGGGTTTAAACTGCTAACTTTTCAGGTAGTGGTCAAGTACCTTAACACTGCACCACATGGGCTTCTTGAAAAAAAAAAAAAACACACCCAAACAAAAAACAAACAACAAAAAAAACAAAAACAAAACAAACAACAAAAACAACCCCTAATCTATTGCTGGTTTGGGACAGGCATTTTATTTACTTATATTGTGTTCATTGTTTTATGTAATTTTGATGATGAATTAGGTAGTTATTATCCTACCTTCTGATAGATAAATCAGTTCACAGAAAGTTAAATTTTCACACACACCCTATAATTTGTAAAGCCAGAATAGGTACTCTGATATTTCATAGGCCAAAACTCACAAAAATTCCTCCATATTGCATTTTTTGTCCAGTTAAGGAAGGCATGAGCATGCTAGGTCTATGGACTTCACAGGATTTTTGAAGCTTGAATGTAGAGTTTTTCAGAGAGTGATTTAAGAACAGTGGATAAGCAGACCTGAACAAGCCTGCCAAGTTCTAAAGGATGTGAATACTGTGGTATCAGTGTTCCTTGAGTACAGATACTCACTTCCTCCTTTTTTTGCCCTCTGTTCTAATCAATCTAATTCAACTCACTGATTCAGCAAATTTATTGAGTACCTAATCTGTGTCCAGTTTGAAGGCTCTTGTGAAATAGCTGGATTCTGGAGGGTAGGTTGTTTTGATATAATAGAAAGCAGGGTGTAAGCTGGTTGTATTTTATTTCATTAACAATCAGTATAAGTTGTTTTGTCATTTGAATTTAGTTAACAATCAGCTGTGGGCCAGAAGCCTCTTGTTTAAATCACTCAGGACCTGGTTGGTTGGCCTTTGTATTTAATAGTGGGTTGGGCCTTTAGGCCTGTGGCCCTAGGGCTTGGTGTTAATTGTGTTTGGGGAGAACATTGTTCTAAGTGTTATAGCACTTGTGTGTCAGTTTACTATACTGAGATAACTTGGGGTATCTGTGATCTAAAAACTGTGCCACTGATATGTCAAATACCATAAAAGTGACCTAAGGTGGGCAGGGTTTGGTAAAATCTCCCAGTCCAAGATAGATTTGGAAGCAGGATTGGCATCCACTTCTTAAATAACAGGCCTTTGAAAACCCTATGAACTAGAGACATGATGATAGTTATAGAACAGGGTCCAGCTCTTTTGTTCAAAGGGTTACTTTGAGTTGTACTCTACTCAACAACACTTAACAACAACAATCTGTGTCACATGCTGGGTTTGTGCTATTGTTCTGAGTACATGAAATTACTAGAAGTCTTCTTTGAGCAATCTTCTCAAAAGAGCCTTTTTCTCATTATCTTCACACTTCCCCCCCCCATTTTTTTTTTCTTTTCTACTAGTTTATTTTGGACGCAGGAGTGGCATCCACTTCCATAACAGCTTGCCTCCAGAAACCCTATGAACCTGGAGAGAGGATGAAAGACACACAAATGTTGAGGACTCTACTTCATAGGGTCGCTATGAGTCACCTGCAACTCGACAGCACTTAACAACAACAACAAGTTTATTTACAAAATTTGAATACAAATTAGAACAAATTCTTTCCATTTCCCTCACCACCCCACCCATCAAATAGTTGTAGTGTTGTTATGTGCCATCGAGTAGCTTGCAACTCATAGCGACCCTATGTACAAGAGCCCTAAACTCTTCTCAGAGTCAGCCACAGTTTGTTAAGATCCACACAGTCAAACAACTTTGCATAGTCAATGAAACACAGATATACATTCCTCTGGTATTCCTGCTTTCAGCTAAGATCCATCTAACATTAGGTACAATATCCCTAGTACCACAACCCCTTCTAAACCCAGCCTGGACTTCTGGCAGTTCTCTGATGATGTACTGTTCCAGTCGTTTTTGGATAATCTTCAGTAGAATCTTGCTGGCATGTGAAATCAATGATATTGTTCTATAGTTTCCACACTCTGTTGGGTCACCCATCTTTGGGATGGGAACAAATAAAGATCTCTTCCAGTCAGTTGGCCAAGTGGTTGTTCTCCAGGTTTCTTGGCATAACATCAAATAGTACAACCCGATACTTAATACCCCCCTTCTCCCTGCACATCCACATCCCTCTGCTTTCAGCCTCTCCCAGCCCTCCTGGATCCTTATACTCATTCCACAATACTGGTTTTATACAATATTTGTTTTTGTGGGACTGAGTTAACTCAGCATAATGCTCTCCTGTCCCTCCCAAGTTAGTTAACAATTAAAAAAAAAATCATTGATCCTGCATACTGCATAGTATTCCATTGTGTGAATGTACCATAATTTCTCAGTCCACTCATTTGTGGTTGGACATTTGGGCTGTTTCCATGTTCTTGCAATGGTGAATAATGCTGCTATGAACACTGGTGTACAAATTTCTGTTTGTGCCTCAGTTCTCATATTCTCAGGATATTTTCCAAGTAGTTGAATAGCTGGGTCATGTAGAATTTCCATGTTCAGCTTTTTGGGGAAGCACCAAACTGTCTTCCAGAATGGTTGTACCATTTTACAATCCCATCAACAATGTATAAGAGTTCCTTTCTCACCATATCCTCTCCAAGTCACATCTTTATTTAATAGAACTTCAAATGCCATTGAAAATATCACGCTGGGTTATTAATCATTGGCTCAAGAAATCATTCTTTCAGATGAACTGCGTCTGACCTTTAGTAGCTGATAACTACACTTTAATAGAAATAATTCATTTTTTAAAAGGAATTTTCACTTTGCAATTGATCTTGTGTATAAGGTTGAATGCAACACCAACCCTTATAATGCTGAGTCCATTCTGGTTACATTTGATGGGATGTGTTGATACACAATCTGCATATTTGTGAACTTTGAAGCTTTAAGGACAGAGTTTGGAGAGAAATCTTAGTTAGAATGTGGCAACTCTCTTAGATAGGAATAGGGACTTCTACTTACTAAGAAAAGGTTGAAAGGAGACTGAAGAATTTAGGCAAGCAGCTCAAGGCCTAACGTATAACACTGATACATGATAAGAATTTGAGTTCTAGTCTTTTTATTCACTTCCTACCTCTTTGAAGTGTGACAGTTTAGGCTCTCTAAAGTTTTACAACTTACATAATCTATTCCATATGATATAACACTTTTGTATACTTCCTTGATGTTCTTGGAGATTGTTTTTTTCCCCATATTCTTTGTTTACTTACAACTGGATTGTAAATTCTTAAAGGCAGAGATCAAATGTAAATGTCTTTCATAGCTCTCATAAGCATTGCCATGGTCGTGTAAGAGAGAGTAATACATTCTTAAGTGCTTGACATGTTGTTGTTGTGTGCCATTGAACCAAATCATGGTTAACCCTCTGGTACATTTTCAGAGACGTAAATAGCATGAAAAATTACTCTCCTCCCACCCGCACCCCGTGGAGTACCTGGTGAACAGCCTTTGGTTCGCAGGCCCACCAAAGCTTCCTAAGTGCTTGATACAGATATTTTAAAGACCATCAGTCACACATGACATTATTATTTTCTTCTAAGAGTGTCTGTGGCTCCATGAAGCATACTATCTAGTTTATTTTTCTATTAGAACTATGATTTAGTGGTATATTATAAGATATACTGAGTTTGATTCATAGTGCTGCTGTAACACGATTACCACAATTGAGTGACTTCAAAGGTTAGTACTTTTTTCATGATTCTGGAGGCAAAAAGTTTAAATCAAATTCACAGCTGTGCTGATTATTGGTAGTCCCAGGTGTTCCTTGTTGATGCTCATAGACATCTCTTCCCCATTATGTGCTTGTGTCTGTGCCTAATGTGTTCTTTTTAGAAATCAGAAGTGATTTGGTTTATGACACAGGCTACATCAATCTCATATCATTACATGTCTCATAACAACATTATGGAAAGTGATTACATTTCACTGCATTATAGCTATGGGTATGAGGGAGCTCTGGTGGCCTAGTGGTAAGAAGCTGTGCTGTTATCCTGAAGACAAGTGATTCTAGCATCTTGACACATAATGTGGGGACAAAATCCAGTCCCTCAGATATCATGTATTTGTTGTTGTTATATGTTGTATGCTGTTAAGGTGACTGAGTCTCCTAGTGATTTCATCAACAGCAGATTTGAACCCTGCTCTATCCTGTGCCATCCTCACCATCTCCGACACACTTGAGCCCATTTTTACAGTTACCGTGTCAGCTGGTCCTGCTTAGGATTGTCCTCTCTTGTACTGACCCTCTACTTTTCCAAGCATGATATCTTTCTCCAAGACTGGCCCCTTTTAACAACCTGCCCAAAATCTGTGAGACAAAATTTCACCAAAAATACTTAAGAATGCAATTCTTACCCTTCTAGTGATTATAGTATTTGTTATACTGCTAGTGTAATTGTTGGATAGATTTCTCATTTGTGTCACAGAAATAACTATATTCTTAGTTTGTTCAACTTCCTATTGCTTTACAGTTAGTTGATGGAGATAAAATGGTTAATCGTTTTTCCTGGAGAATTTTAACACTACAAAACTCTACTTTGCTCTACTTTCTCTCTTCATTATATAAAAACTATAAATGCGATTCATCTTTCCTGATTTTTCAGGTGGAGTGGATTCCTCCTTTGTGCCATTGCAATGTTTCTTGTGATATTCCCAATGTTTACTTTTCCAAAAAAGCTTCCACCTCGGCACAAGAAGAAGAAAAAGAAAAAATTTTCTGTGGATGTTGCTAGCGATGATGATGATGTTATGAAAGAGAAATCAAACAACAGTGAACAAGTGGACAAAAAAGTTTCTTCTATGGGATTTGGAAAGAATGTCAAAGGTAATATATGTGTTAAATAAATACGTGCCTGTTATTTCGAGATCAGTGCTTCTCAAAGTGTCATCCCTAGACCAGTGCCCTCAGCCACCCAATTGTTATTGTGGCAGCATGAGTACTGAATTGAAGAGTAAATTATCGAAAATAATCTCCAGACATTTGGCAGAGGATTTTTCTATTTATTAAATCAAATAGTAATATTAAATATGGCTTAGCCTTACTATGTTCTTAGGACTGTGCTCAAAACCACTTATTGAACTGAATGAATTTATTAAAAAAATGGTTTTCTGGTAGTTTCTCCTTAATGTATTTTGCAAAAATAGCAGATCAGTATGTGAGAGATTAGAATAATCCTAAACAATATTCCTTTATCACAAATAGTTTGAGAAACACTGATTTAGATCATAAAGATGCATATATTTAAAAAGATGCATATATTTACACACATTATATATATAGATGCCTGAACTTGAAAATATTTATTGCGGGGCAGTGGGGGTTGGTGTGTCAAAATTAGTGAGACTGGTTCAGGACAGGGAACGGTACAGAGCTGTTGTATATAGGGTCACTATGCATCGCAGGTGACTCAACCAATAACATTCTATGATGGGTTTGGAAGCAGGGGTGACATCAACTTCCTAAACAGCTTGCCTCTGGAAACTCTATGAACTTTGATAAATGTCAATAGTTGCCAAGGGGCTTCAGGCCTTTTGTTCACAGGGTCGCTATGAGTTGTGCTCAACTTGAAAACGATCAACAACAACGACAGCATATAATGGTAGTTTGTTTGAAGGAACTGTGGATTTAATAATGGTTTAGAACAGTAACAGTGGCTTAGAGATTACATAAATGTAAACCTTCCCCCTACAAAGAAAACGTATCCAACATTGCCTGCATTGAATATTTGCAGGTGGTCAAGAGAAAGAGTAACTGTGAGTGGGTTTCCAAAACCTAATGTAAAGACATTAAGAAAGCTCTAGTTATTAGCTTAATTTTTAAGTTTTGATAACTCTTCATTATGGAGGCCTGGTGGCAGGAAGGTGTGCTGAAATCCTGAAGCCATGCAGTTCGAGGCCACCAGCTGCTCCATGAGAGGAGAGGCAATCTTTTCTCATTTGATTATCTGCTTCTGAAAACCTGCTGGAGGGTCAGCTATGGGTTGGTTCTGACTCTATGGTACAGAACAACAGCAAACATCTTTTAAATATAAGGATTTAATTAAAATTAGATCAGACAGTATAGCACAAAAAAAAGAATCTTAATCTTTGTTCAGTGTCCTGTATGATATCAGAATGGTAATGAGTCCTTTTAATCCAAGAGAACGAAATTGCTAGGCATCATGTAGGGCGTTCTGGCAGCTTAGCTGTAAGAAGGTGCGCTGCAATCCCAAAGGCGCACAGTTGGAGCCCACCAGCTGCTATGTTGGAGAAGAATGGATGGTTTCTTCCTGTGTGATTTACTGTTTCTGAAAATCCACTGGAGGGTCAGCCATGGGTTAGTTCTGACTCAGTTGTACACAGCAACAATAACACTTCAGTTAGTTTCAGCTCTATTTCTCAAATTCCTTGAACTGATTTTTAAAAATAGAAATTATGAAGCATAATATATCTTTCCATTAGTCAAGGTTGTTTTAGGTGAAATTGACCTTACATAGTAAGATCTCAAATGAAGCTACTAACATATTACTAAACTGTAATTTAGGGAAAATAATGGTCAAATTAGATAGACTATTTTTAAAAGAAAACTATACTTGTTTACAGAAAGTAATGATATTTCATTGAAAAGATTTCTTTCTGGTTAGTTTTAGATTTGTTTTATTTGTGGCAGGCTCCACAATTATTTTGTGATAAAGTATACTTTAGGGTCTAATAAAATGACTTATCCTTTAGAAGCGTTAAAATTTCTGAGTGTTTTCTAGACCTAAGCCTATGATGTACATTATTTGCCATTTTAAAGTTTGTTGGTGTTCACCATATGATGCAAGCTTCACTATCATTTGTTTCCAAACTTTTTCCATCATCCCAAACAAAAGCATTGAGCTCCTTAAGCAGTGATTCTCCATTCTCCTCTCCCCTGAGCCATGGTAAACTTTGGTCTTTCTTTCTGTCTGTGGATTTTCGGCTCCTCATCTTTCATGGATGTTTTATGGACCATTATGACTCATAGCCGTTCCAGAGGAGAGATTATTTTTATAACTCAATTGACAGAAAGCTCATGCTAAGAGTTTAACATTCAGGGATAGACTTAATGTCTTAAGTAATGCAGAGTATAGACTCAGGAGGAGAGATAAAGGCATGGGTAAAATAAAATTGTGTGTTTTACTGCTTACTAGATGACATGAATGTGAAATCTGTGATCTTTTGTGTAGGGGAGAAAAGATTGAAATAAAACACCAACCATGCATACACGTGCTGATGGCCGTAGAGTGTGGCCTGTGTTTTCAAAGCCTGCTCATTCTCCAGGGTGATTTCTTGCTGTGTTGAGGCTTACCACCTGTTAGGTAATTGAATCTTCTGCCTACTTTCTGGAACGCCTTAAGAAACAGCTTGTTTTCCTGGAGGCAGGTGCCCAGTACTAAGAGATAACACAGCTGGCCCTCCCTCTTAAGGGCCCTACATTTCAACAAATGGTTTGCATTGACTACTAACTTACAGATTAAGGGATCAAATTACTCAGTGCTAACTAAGAAAAAAGTCCTGGTGACCTGATTCTGTAAAGATTACCATTAAGAAAACCCTACAAGAGCATCAGCAGAGAACTGCTAGAAGTCCAGGCTGGATTTAGAAGGTGTCGTGGTATTAGGGATATTGTAGCTAATGTTAGATGGATCTTGGCTGAAAGCAGGGAGTACCAGAGGAATGTCTATCTGTGCTTCATTGATTATGCAAAGGCGTTTGACTGTGTGGACCATAACAAACAGTGGCTGACTCTGAGAAGAATGGGAATCCCAGAACACTTGATCATGCTAATGGAAAACTTATACTTGAACCAAGAAGCAATCGTCAGAACAGAGCAAGAAAACACTGTATGGTTCAAAATTGGGAAGGGCATACGCCAGGGATGTGTCCTGTCTCCATACCTTTTAACCTGTATACAGAACAGATCAACCTGGAGGCTGGTCTCTATGAGGAAAACTGCGGCATCAGGATTGGTGGAAGATCTATCAACAATCTGCGTTATGCAGATGACACAACCCTGCTTGCTGAAACTGAGTAGGACCTGAAGTGCTTGCTGCTGAGGGGCAGGGACTGCAGCCTTCAATATGGATTGAGGCTCAATGTCAAGAAGACAAAGATTCTCACCAGTGGACCAATTGGCAGCATCAGGATGGAGGGTGAAGAGATTGAGATTGTTCACAGCTTTAGTCTGCTTGGCGCCACAATCAACACTCTTGG